CACAATCAGTTTCATCCTTACTGCGTTGCCAGTGGTCGCTAGGTCAACAAACAAGGTCTCTTCAGCCTTCTGCCCATAACCTTTTCTGAATAAGATTTGACACTGTACCTAAACCAGTGATTATAAATCAACCGCTCACAAAAGACAAAGTAAATACTAGAATGCCAGAAACTGCTATAGTCATCTTATATGGTCAGGGAAGCGGTTCAACCAAAAAGTCAGTGGTGTTATAAATTGTAAAAATTCTTTCACGTGCATCTCCAGTTTCATGCAGTCGTGATTACTGCTTTTACCGACCGCATCAAATATCGGGAGAGGGTGCACTCATCAAAGTTTTATTCTTACTTTCTTTTCATAACCTTCTGCACTAGACCGCACAACCAATGGCGACCGAGACGTCAACGCGATTAAACCGCTGTGAATCCGGATGTGAGTAACCACCATCACCACTGTCCACAAAAGATCTTGTTGGTTACTTGAACGTGCTAGACTTGCGCAACATTCGTCTCACTGTGATCACATTCATCGTGCTCCAGACGATGGGAGATAAGCGTGAGTCCGGTGACTGAGGTCTCCGTTCAGGCCCGGATCTCACGTACGTGAGATGTGCCACGAAGATAAAGGAGCGGTTTAAGTCGGCTCAAAGGAGAGCAGAAATTGCCTTCTTCTGCTACTGATCTGTTGTCCGTCACGAGTTTAATCGCGCCCTTTTTTGAAGCTGCCTGACCATTTTTGTGAACCGTTTGAAACTCATATCTCCGGAGTGCTTCCCAGAGGCTCACTTAGCCACAGACCTCGGTGCGATCCGCGAAGACTATGTAGAAGCTCTTCTTTATTTTCCCGTATTTGCCAAACCCTTTCCCCAGTCGTGGATTCAAGCGATTTCTGAATGCTTAGGTGATGATCTTGCTGATACTGCCGAAGAGAGGGAGGCTTCGGAGCTTATGTGTTTGAGTGGGTCCGAAAGAGGATCAGGCCTTCACACCAGTAGGCAGGCCTTGAGCCGCGCCCTTGTAGTTTAAAGCGCATTTGGAAATTTATAGCAAGGAACCTGTGATCTGGGTCCGAACCGAATCAACCAAATGCACAGTAGCGTGCACGCTTGCCACACACTGCACAAATGACAGTCGGCAACAAGAAGTGGTGGCTCCCGATGCTCGAGCTACGCCCTCTCGTCAGTCTTTCCTTGCGTAAAGGCGTAATCAACGAACACGCAGTGGCCCAGGAGATGTTTTTTTAAATTGGTCGATTAAGCCTAACGCCGTTATGTTGGACGAGTCGACCGGGATTGTGCTTGGTTAGTCACGCATAGTTTAAGCAGTACCCATAGCTATTAACCACTAATCTGCGTCTTCGAACATGCTCTTGCCTGCCCAGCCACCGTGCTTTAGCTAGACAAGTTTCATCCCCTCCCCCCATTCTCGTCTTGATATTTCGTCTTACTATCGCATTGATCATTCTGCTGAGGACTTCTAAGAAGCTTTCTCATGTTTCCATCTGCCCGTATCAGATAATCCGCACGATCATGCCACCTAAATGTCAGACGGTTCTTTTTAACGCCTGTTGGAGGAGTAAGAAATGAAGTCATTTGTGATTTATTCTTTCCTGTTTGCTTTATCGCCGATCATGCACTGTCACACAAAAAACTGTGACCATCACCACCAACTGCATTATCTTCATCCTCCTCATCCATCTCTCTGCTTCTTTCAGTTCAACGTTAACCGCAAACCACCCGTCATGTGCGATGGCCTGACCGCGCCCATCTTCTCCGAAGTCCAACTGGCCGCGGTAACTTCCCCCGATCTTCTGTCTGCTGCCAGCCAGT